TTAACAGCAATTTAGTTTGACTACGTACCTAACAGACCTAAATTTACTGTGTAATGCATTTTTGGAAAATTCTTCGCCAATGTAAATGAGAAATACAAACATTCATCCAACGGACAATTTGCCCTTTCACTGTAACCATTGTAAATATGTCTTCTTTTTCTACAATGATTTCATCTCCCTGAAATCAATGGCCACAATTTTAAGGATTACTGGGTGAAATTTAGCAATTAGGGTTGTAGAGAATAATTCAAGAATTACCTGGGTAGAGTTCACCCTCATCCTGATCGATACTCGATATCTCCCTGTAATCGAAAAAGTTCACACTCCACAGTAGGGTTATATCCTTCAGAGTGATTTCCTCCTCACTGAGGTTCTCTATGATCAACACAATCTGTCCGTATTTTCCACTCTCCACTTTTAATTCAATCACACCATGTTCATCTGCAGCAGGATCTGAAGTAACTCTAATCCCATTTTTGTCAAAGACAAGCTCTGGTCTGGATGAACAAAAGGGGGCAATTCGTTCTCAACCTGGGAAATCTCCAAAAGTTTTTCAATGTATGACGTTTCACTTACTCTACAAATATCACCCCTTACTTTAATTACCAAAACTAAAAAGGAATGGATTTGATTTAGTGATCTTTGCCATGCAAATCCTTATTAAAAGTTAGTAAAAGGGGGAGAAGGGAGTTACATGACGGGAGAGCCATTAGAGAAAACTTAATTTCTATACTTGGATGGCTCTTTTTTTTCTTAATTTCCATACTTTTGGATGGCTCAAATCATTGTATTATGCGGGGTGTAAGTCACATTGACCATCTTCAATAAATAGTTCAACCGTTATGAGTCAGTCTCCTGTAACTCAGAGGTAGAGCGTCAGGATACTTACTGGAAAATCTTAGGTTAGATGTATGTTGTAAGATAATATATTTTCTTTTTCGTCTGCTCATCGAGATGATCAATTTTTGCAGGACCCTAACTGCCTCGAGTGGAACATAAATGATTCATACATTCCGCTATGTGAGCATTTAGTTCAATAATAACTAAACTTCCCTCTTCTTCTTCTTCTTCTTCTTCTTCTTCTTCTTCAAAAAAAAGAACTATTACATTCCCCCTGTTTAACTTTCGCTTAGCTCGTGTTCAACATTAAACATTTTTGCAAAATAGTGCATTGGAAGAGCTAGGGCCGACTAAAAGGAATCAGGAATAGAACTACACGGATGATTCTTGATACATGTATTCGACAGGTATGGTATACATAAGCTTTGAAATCATTTTACTTTTTAACGGAAGTGAAGTCTGACAGCCGACTCTCAAATATGAAAAGTCTTTGAAATATATTGAAACGAAGAGGCACTTACTTGTTTAGTGATTTTCGAATCGTTATGAGGATATTTTGTTGGCGATGTTTCACACTTTCGAGGTGTTTGTTGTAAGCCATAAAATTCCCAAGACCTCTTTTACAAACTTCACAGTAAAAAGGCCTCCGAGAAAAGGCCCCCAATAGCGAGCGGAAACAAAGATCATCATTATCCTGCGGCTCTTCAGGATCGTCGGTAAGGAGCTGAAGAGCTGCGGCATCTCCACCACCGAAGATTACACGATCTTGAAGTTGCTGGCATTCATTTAAGTGATACGTGAGAGCGTTTAAAACTCTGGAGAATGAAATACCCCAGCCCACGGAGGGATTTAGAAGGCGGAATTCTCCTTGGTAAATGTTCTTCAGTTGAAGCACAGGCATGTCTTCCTTACGACCGTTGTCCTCCAAAAACTTCACAAACGCTTGGGCAACAGTTTTCTCCTGCTCTACAGATCTGCTCGACCTTGGGCGGCTAAACATACTGGACAGGTCTACAATGGAAATGATCAAATCTTTTGAAATGAAAAAGCTTTACAGTTGCGATTTACACTTATATTTAATGGTCTTTATCCAAATTAAAGTGAAGAGAGAAACATGATCTGCGCAACAAGGTGCAAGGAAACTAAGAAGGCTAAATGAAAATAACCACGACTCCGCATAGGCATGGTTCGTGATTTGCAAAAGGAATTACAGAAAAAGAAGAGAAAAGCAAATCAGTATCACGATCCGCTATTAACCCCCAAGTGGTCCGTTGTTTTCCTCTAATTTGTACGCTAAAATGGATCGATACCTCAGCGAAATCTGGCTAGAAATGAGGGTTCTCAAAATCCTCAATATTCATCTTATTTTCGTTTCTCACCGTGCTTTCAAGACAATATTATAAACTGCCATCTGAAGAAGCACCAATTGTTGAACGCAGAATGTTTGTAATTCTGGATGTTGTTATTTGGATCCCAAAATGAAAGCAGCGATCAACAAACCTAAATCAAACTGCTCACCAAGAATAATTATGCGGCTTTGCATAACCAGTGTGTGTATGGTTTATTAAATACCGTGAGAAATTTCAGAACCTCTTGCGGCCTGCGATCTTCAGTGGACACAATATAAGATAGTCGACTACATTCTCCTGTGTTGCAAAAATTTATCTACGACCCAGTTAAACGGAAGTGAAGAACCTTCGCATCTGAGCTGTAGCACTTTCAATTTCTCTTATTTCTCTCCTTTGACATCGATAGCATTAGCAAACCCTGAAACTCCTTAGGATTTCACTATAAGCTTACTGCACCCCGAGTCAAATCTATGTACCGCTCACAAATTTCAGTAACTAAGTGAAACATTGCATTAGCTTGTATCTCTCCGAGAAAGAATTCTCGGAAAACTACACCGATGATGTCATTTCTAAGTAACGAGCAAAATATGTTCATCGAACAATCGATCGGCCAATGCACCTATGGAGCTGAAAATTTAGAGTAGGATTTCTCACGACCGAAGGTTCTACGTGAGCCCACAAAAAACTTTATTATTATAACACGTTACAGACTGAAATAAGTACTAGTTGAAAATTTGAAATTCTTATTGAGCATCAAGCCAGCAACACAGGCCGGGATCGCACATATTATTCAAACAAATTAAGAAACATAATTGCAAAATTACTAAATTCCTTGCCTTTAGAACTCACCTTTGAGCAATAAATGCCTTCGGTTTCTTTCTTTGAATATTATGAGAAGCAAATACAAGTTTATACAGTTTTCCTGCTGATTTGTTCGATTTCTCAGTATCACAGGACCATGACGTCAGATTTCCGAGAATACAGCTGCGACTTGATTACATTAGATGTCCCGGATATGTATTTGTCCGTCGATTAGTTTAGTGCTAATCCATTAAAATTCAGTGATGTGGAGCCAAATAACATGATTTTTTCATGAGATTATTAAGAAGGAAGTATTTAAGTTCAAAACAAAATGAAATAATCCTCTATTCCTGGAACGAAGCTGATACATTTGTCGCCGAGCTTGAGGGTAATGCTTCAAGTCCTTTCAGTGCTTTGATGCCATGGAAAATTTGCATCGCTTAAGAAATGAGCCGTAAGAAACGAATGACGGAAACCGAGGGAGCTCCTTGATTAGCAAACTTCGTCGGTAACGGTTATCGATACTAAATCTTACAGCCAGGAACTGAAAACGTTTTTTACTCGGTCATAGTCAAGTGGGATATGGGAAGTATGAGCTAAGAGTTGATAAAAGTTGCATAGGGCTGGATTTCCTACAGGTCCTTCGAAGCCCTACTTCAAAATGTCACGCAACCCATCCTCAGATATGTATTGGAGCGCTGCGTGACGTAGCAAAAGTGACTCTTCTGAATGCTGCGAGATAGCATTCTCCATTCTTTTCGAAAGAAAACCTGATACACTTGGCACTGTAGACGTCTCGTGGGTAGCCTGAATCCAATAAGTCAAATTGCGCACCTGGAAACTAAGCTGCACATACTTGATTGCAATTGCTTGCCAGTCACAGTTGAAAGAGGTATCGTAATCAGCTAATGCAAAATTCATCTTTGATAAAAAACGTGGTAGTTTACCATTTATGGCCATGTGAGATCTCACTTCATCCGACTTTTCCAGGACTAAATCGAGGCTCTGTTTGTAAATGCGATAAAATTTGTGAAGAAGAGTTTCGAGATCCTGTTATCACGAAACTGATGACACAAATCAATGGTGTCTTCCAGTCCTTCCTTGTAATCTTTCGGAGCTTTTGTACAACGCATTTGTGCATGATATCTCGAAGCAAAAAATAAAAGTTTCTTCAGTCGCTCGATTTCATCGTCGAGGAAGGTAACAAGAGATTTTCCGGTGTCTAAAAAGTGAAATTTTAGGGCCTGCTGCCGGTCAAGGAAAAACACCACAACTGTAAAATGAGGTAAACCTCGTTTTACGTCAGCTGGACAATCTTCTATAAATGAAAAACATTGGTCCACCTTCTTCTGGAAATCTATCTACTTCGTCAGATGTTTTGAAAAAGTTGATGTTTGCAGCCTTATATTTCCGGCAATCATCACACCCACAACCCTCCTGAAGAGTTAGTATCTTTTCATTCCAAAGAATATATTGTAGACGAGGAATTACTTTGCTTCTAGCGAGGGATATCGAAGAGTTCCACCGTAGCTCTTTATTACGTCGACAACTTTGCATCATGGACTGTGACACGAGTCGCCGCCAATGAATAACGCTAAGTACATTGGAGTAATTCCATCTTTACTGGGGCAGTCCACATCAACACCAATAATTTCACTGCTAGCACAGATTTTTTGTCAAAGACTCCTAAGTTGTAAGAAATTCACTAACAGATGTGTTCACTTACAGATGTGAACTTTTCGCTAAAATACTGTTCAAAAACAGCAACAATGACGAACCCATGAAATTCACAAACACATTAATATGACCAGAATGATTACATTTGAAATTTAAACCACATAACCATACACTGCTGTTATAGTATATAAAGCTTTCAGAGCCGTGTGTTCGCAATTTTCTTAGTTTAACGTGTAAAAAAATAATTTACAAATTCTTTAAATAATACCGACTTATTCATCATCTGAAGACAGCGCCTATCACTTTAAGTGTATAGCAATAATATTTGTCACAATTGCAAATCCTAACTTACAAAATCTAACACTGAAAGTTCAAATAAAAAGTCCTCGAAGATGATTTGTTTAAAAATTAATTACAAGATGATAAGGTTCTAGCGCAGCTGGAGATTGGAATAGAGACATTTACTCGTGCCTAGTCCACTCTGGGTGTTCTTGAAGCTGACGCTGGCTAATTTCTGAGCCGTCTTCGTCATATTCTAAAAGAGAATTGTGTATAACGGTATTAAGTGTTGGAGGGAAAAAGCACAACATGGATAAAACAAATAACAACAATGTATCATCATTCCTCACGCTTGTTAAATTTATGAACATAGTAGAGGCCTTGATCATAGTTATGTTCTCTGTAACTCAATGATAGAGCGTTTGTCTGCAAATTCTGAGTTCTGGTTTTTTTCTTGGAGAACTCAGATTTTTTCTCTATTTCCTTTTATCTCTTTAAAAGACGATTGACTTCTTTAAGAAAACCACGACGGCAATGAGAACGCAGCGAAACAAAAGATCTATTGAGCAAAACAATAACGAAACACGTGCGTTTTAAAACTTTGTACATTTCTAAGCCGTCCCAACAGAACAAAAGCGTGACTTCACTACGGCGACGTTTTACCACACGTCCCTATTCACTGAAGCGGAGGTGGCTAGGGGTGGATATTCATTGTAATAAAGTTTAACCAACAAAAAAGAAACGACCAATTAAAACACGATAATTGGCATATCAGTTTATCTGATTCTTTTTTACAGCGAGAGTAAATCAATTTTGCTGTTCACCTGAAGCGCCTGAGGAGAAGATTTTGAGTCTTTTTAAAGTATCTGCAATGTCTTCCACCTTTTCTTTCCTCTCCACGTCAACAGTAGCTTTGTTTTCTCGACAATAATCTACAAAACTAGTAAAAAAAAAAGTTAAAATAAGATTTTGCTCCAGTAGTAGAGAGCACAGAACCTATACAGTTTAAAAGAGCAAAGGTGATGAGTTACTCAAGTTGTATCTAGCACATTCTTTTATTTTCTAACAGTTGTCATAAATGTAATCTGTTCCACTCACGTTTTCCAGTTCTCGTCCAAGCAGAGCATGTCCGGATTCCCTATGAGAATCAAGAGAGCCTGGGCACGAGTTATGGCCACGTTGAATCTCTGGGGGATAAGAGTAAAAATATTACTCGATAAAAGTGCATTAGATAATCCAAAGGGATGTGCGATACCGGAGTCTCCCTGTATATCCATGTACTACTTTTCCATCCATACCCGATCTTCTTTGGGCATGACATAAATGTTTTGCCCTCAGTTAGGGAAAATACCAAAATTATAAAACCTTGGGATTCATGGCTAAAGGAGAAGTATGATAAACGTAAATGTGATTAAACCGGCCATTTCTTACCCTTCAAAGGAGTTTTGAACCTTTTTAAACATTTAGCTAGTCATAATTTCTACCATTTTCAATTTACTTACTTTCCCCCAACCACAACTGAATCTTTATTCATAAATGTACCAATAATGTTAACAAAAATAATAATGGTTGGAATTGCAATAAAAAAAAAGCACTAACAAACCTGCCCCTGCATATGGCGGTTTAGTCAAACACAGAGATTAACTGGAGACCATACCTTGGGATTGTTGAGGAATCCGAGGCGGAAGTCCTTGTCCATCTCCAGATATTCTTTCTTGGTGCTCCTAACTGTTGACAAGATGATTACTCTTCTTCTTGCCCTGAACTCTTCCACGCTGCCAACTTTGATTTCGCCACCAAAGCGTCTTTTTTCAATCATTTTCTGGATCTTTTGCACCTTGCCATGAAAAGAGAATTCCAATTAGCAATAACGAGTGAAAGATAAACTGTTAATGATGAGATCTGCCGGGATGTTAGACACCCAGGGTGGGGAACTGTCAATTTAAGAGATGAGCTCGGATGGCTAAAATATTGAGCACGATTTGATGCATGCCAAGTTCTTTACCTTATAG